AGGATATATCGACTCTAATTATGTAGGTTGTATGGATTCCAGAAAATCTATCTTTGGATATGTGTTCACTATGTTTGAGACAAAAATCAGTTGGAAAGAAACACTTTAGAAGGTCGTTTACTTACCAACCACTGAGGTGGAGTATATTGCCCTAACTAAAGCTGTGAAGGAAGCATTGTGGCTTGAAGGTTTTGCAAAGAAACTAAAACTTCAAGGTCGAGTTATCACTATTAAATGTGATAGTCAAAGTGCAATACACCTGTCGAAGAATTCAGCCTATCATGAGCGAACCAAACACATTGATGTGAGGTTGCATTTCTTCAGAGGGGTAATCGAGCATGGAGAAGTCCAAGTGCTGAAGGTTTCGATAGATCATAATGCTGCTGATATGATCACCAAGACATTGCCCAGTTGCAAGTTTTTCCACTGTATGCAGTTAATAAAGCTGTATGAAGAAATCTAGTTTCTTGATGTTATATAGTTAGATCTAAGGTGGAGATTTGTGAGATGTTGGATCGAACTCTAGTGTGGTCGAAGTCTGTTCGTGAGTAATGTGTGTTATAGTCGAAGTTTGTTCTAACATGCATTAGTCAATATTGCTAGGATTGTTAGCATGTTGAATTGGGTCTTGCTTGTAAGCCTAATTGTTTAAGTTAGCTTATAATGGGTAATTGTTAAAAAGTCCATTAGGTTAGTGTGCTATTTTTCTTATAAATAGGATGCTAGTTTCTCAATCTTGTCATAAGGAAAAATAGGAAGATAAAATCCTAATTTCAAGAGAGAGAGAGGGGTTATTTTGTTATTCTTGTATACTTGTAATCTTGTTCTAAGAGAAAGGAAATAAAATCAGTTTAATAACCAATCCTTGTTGTTTTCTTCTTTATTAACCTTAACCCTTGTGTGTTTCTTGATTATTAAGAAACTATTTATACTTAGTTTTAAGATATCTGATTCACAATAAATTGGTGTGGTGAGCGTGGAGAAGATGCCTTCAACAAAGTATGAGATTGAAAATTCACCGGAGTGAACGACTTCGGTCTGTGGCGCTTGAAGATGAAAGCCCTACTGGTTCAACAAGGTTGTTTGGAAGTGTTGAAGGGTGAGGCAACCATGAATGTTACGTTAACGGGAAAAAAAAAGACGGGCATGATCGAAAAAGCCCACAACGCAATATTGTTGAGCCTTGGTGATTAGGTTCTTTGACAGGTATCAAAGGAGACTACAACATCAAGATTATGGGTGAAACTTGAAAGTTTGTACATGACCAAATCTCTGGTCAATCGACTCTACCTGAAACAAGCATTGTATTCATTCAAGATGAGTGAAGACAAAGTGTTGGCTGAGTAGTTGAATATGTTCAACAAGCTGATTCTTGATCTTGAAAATATTGATGTGAAGATCGATGATGAAGATCAAACACTGTTGCTGCTTTGTGTTTTGCCCAGAACACGTGCTCACTTTAAAGAAACTCTCTTGTATGGAAGGGAGTCCCTAACCTTTGAAGAAGTTCAATCATCCTTGTATTCTAAGGACTTGAACGGATGAAAAGAGTATAAACCTTCGACGGTGGGCGAAGGTTTGACCGTTAAGGGAAAATTCTTGCGAAAGGATGGTAAGTTCGACGAGAAGAAAGGTAAAAGTCAACAGAAGTCTTATAGTGGCGAAACATCTGGTATTCGAAGTTATCATTGTAAGAAGGAGGGTCACATAAGAAAGGTGTGCCCTGAACGCCTGAAAGATCATGGAGGTAATGGTAACGTAGCCATCGTTCAAGATGACTTTGACTCATATGATGTTCTTGTGGTTTCAAGTGACCATTCGAGAAAAGAGTGGATTATGGATTCAGGTTGCACTTGGCACATGACTTCAAACAGAGAATTGTTCGAGGAGCTATGTGATCAAGATGGTGGATTTGTGCTGCTGGGAAACAATAAATCTTGCAAAATTACAGGTATTGGCTCCTCGAACATGCATTAGTCAATATTGCTAGGGTTGTTAGCATGTTGAACTGGGCCTTGCTTGTAAGCCCAATTGTTTAAGTTAGCTTGTACCCTAAGTTAGCTTATAATGGATAATTGTTAAAAAGCCCATTAGGTTAGTGTGCTATTTTCCTTATAAATAGGATGCTAGTTTCTCAATCTTGTCATAAGGAAAAATAGGAAAATAAAATCCTAATTTCAAGAGAGAGAGAGAGGTTATTTTGTTATTCTTGTATACTTGTAATCTTGTTCTAAGATGAAGGAAAGAATATCAGTTTAATAATCAATCATTGTTGTTTTCTTCTTTATTAACCCTAACCCTTGTGTGTTTCTTGATCATTAAGAAACTGTTTATACTTAGTTTTAAGGTATCTGATTCACAACACAAGTGTATCAATAGTATTGAAGTAATAAAAATAAAAATCATATCCACATAGATTGCTAATTAAAAAAATATGATTGTGCAAATTAAAAAAAATTAAAGATTGAGGAGTTTTCGAGTTATTTTACGAAAAGTAAATTTGTTTTGAATTCAATACAAGAGAAGTGATTAAGTTTTAGCATGAATCCCTTATTTATCCCTGTTGATGATTAGGACAGTAGATGAATGGTAGAGTCGTCATATTTTTACAACGAATTAATAAAGCTGTTATACCTAATCCCTTGGTGTATAACTTACTAATTTGTTTGTTAGAAACTAAGCATCCTCTATGCGCAACTGCAGAGACCAATCCCTCAAGTCAGGTAGGACCTCAAAGGGTGGCAAAGCTCTCCCTCAAGAGAATTTAACACTTCTGTATGTCTAGGACCGGATTCAAACCCAATTATCACTAATTTCTACTAGTGGCTTCCTATCCCTATTTGATCAGCGAAAGTGAAATTAGACATTATTACGATACATTAATTCAAAATTCACTACTAGAGACTCATATCCCTATTCAACTGGAGAAAGTAAATTAATTATCCTAATTCAGACTTATAGGTTTAGGGTCAGTAATCCCTACTCGTTTAAGTTCATATTATCAGCGCGTCTACAAATAATAAGCATTAAGAATAAAGATAATTAAATAGAAAATATAACTTCAATTATTCATACAACATCAAACTATACATATAATCCAACAGGTTCAAAACGAATTCATCATGTAAAACTTAATCTAGAGTAACTTAGTTACTCATAGTAATACAATAAAATACCAAGAGCCGAAAAGATGATTGCACGTGAAATTCTTAAAGAGTTTAATCTTCAATGACTTTCAATGCTCTCAAAATGACCTTCCTATGACTCCTTGCCTTCACTTTAGAATAAAAAATGCAGAACCCTTAATTTTGTTTTAGAAAAGCCTATTTATAGAAAAATAAGCATGTAAAAAAAGCCTAGAGAAGCGACTCATCGCAATTGTGCCACTATGTATCGCCACCACGATGTGACGTCATCACGATCACGATGAGCGCATCACGATCACGATTCTTCCAGTGTGATTTTCGTCCTTGTGTCCAATTTTTCTAATTTTCACTATTAGCAAAATAAGCATGTCAAAAAAAGCCTAGAAAAGTGACTCATCGCAATTGCGCCACTCTGTATCGCCACTACGATGTGACGTCATCGCGATCACGATGAGCGCATCACGACCATGATTCTTCCAGTGTGATTTTCGTCCTTTTGTGTCCAATTTTTCTAATTTTCACTAATAGCAAAATAAGCATGTCAAAAAAATCTTAGAAAAGTGACTCATCGCAATTGCGCCACTCTGCATCGCCACTGCGATGTGACGTCATCGCGATCACGATGAGCGCATCACGACCACGATTCTTCTAGTGTGATTTTCGTACTTTTGTGTCCAATTTTTCTAATTTTTACTATTTTTTCCAATTCTCTTCACTTGACCAATCTTCGCTATCCATTGACACTTTTACTTCACTTTGACTTTATATTTCATCGAAATCACTTCAAATACTCGTAAAAAACATGTAATGACAGAATGTCATCACAACCTCAAACTTAATATCTTGTTTATCCTCAAGTAACTTGTCTACAGATGCATTTCAATAAAAAAAAACATGTCAATTATAACCAATGAACATCACCTTTTTTAGAATTTTTATTACCAGATCATCACTTCTGCTCCTAGCTTCAATCAAGAATATTTGAAAAAAATATATCCAACACAAGAGTACTCAACTTGTCTCTCATCTCACTATGATTTCACTCGCAATGACAAGGTAATCTCTCAATCAACATACAAAAACATCTTATGTTGAATTTGAAAAGTTTTTAAAAATGTAAATCCAAGTCGTTTAAAAACACACTATTTGAGATCTTTTCAAATTGTTTCAGTTGTAATGAACCTTATGTCAATGTATGATAATTTGGAAGTGCAGGCTTAAAATATTGAAAATATTAGAGTTAGGTACCTAATTTTACTTGTGTTATCAATGTATGATAATTTGGGAGTACAGGCTTAAAATATTGAAAATATTGGAGTTAGGTACCTAATTTTACTTGTTATCAATTTCCTTTTCATAAAACTCTATGCTTTATTCTTGGTAATAGAGACCAACTCTATGCTTTATTCTTGGTAATAGAGAAGGTCTCGTCTTTTCAAAATTACTCTATTCTATCATGAAGTACCTAATAGAATGACATAATTATTCCATTCCGCTATGTTCCATCTCACTCCGCGCAATTCCGCTCCGATCCTTTTACAATATACAAACATAGTCTAAGAGAGGCAAAAGAGGCAAACTGCAGTACAAAACACACTTTGGAATTAACATCACAAGTACAAATGTTGTTTGAACAATCCTATAATATATGGTATCACACATATTAACATATATACTCTATACAACCAGCAACAGAAGAAACAACAACAGGTGGAGAGACCAAGAAATTACAATACAGACAGATACTAAAGTCCTTCATATAGTTGTAACACATATACAATTTTATAGCTCAATTGAATGTATTTAAATTTAATACATATATATAGGTTTGCATCAGATCAAATCTGTTGATTATCATTTAGATGCTTTATGTCCTTGTCCTTTGGTCTGACTAGCAGCTGCAGACATCACACGCAAGCGGCGCGCTATTTCTGTAAATGATGGCCTGACTGCAGGGTTTGGTGCCCAACACTGCTCCATTAGTGTTCTCCATTCTAGATCACAAAAACTTGGGATGGTAGGTCTTAGTGTGTTGTTCACAATACCTCCTGTTAAAAGTTGCAAGAAAATGAGTGAAAATATAGAATTTGAATAGGATGGAGGTGAAAACGGTTTCTTTATGCATGAAAAAATATGACAAGTGAAACAGATATGCAACAGGCTATCAGGCACTGACAGACACTGAACACGACCCTGGCATTGAAATGTAAACACTGGGCACGACCCTGACATTGACATGTTGACAATGATAGTAATTTGAAAAGATTAAATATTTTTAGAGGCTCAACATGACTTTGAGTCCAAGACATTGAAAGAGTTTCATAGAGAAGAGAAAAGAACAGTACCTATGATTGCACCATAGTGCATATTAGCATATGGTTCCTCACCAGTAAGAATCTCCCATAATACAATCCCAAAGGAGAATACATCAACCTAAACATTGCAAGATCGCATTAGTCACCAAAGCTTCAGCAAAAATATCACGAATTTCATAAAGACAAAATATTTAACCCTTATTTTTGATGATGTTAAATTTTACCTTTTCTGAGACCTTATTGCTGCTCCCATTCAGCAGCTCTGGCGCCATCCACGGTAGAGTTCCACGCACACCACCGGTCACCAGGGTATTCCGCTTGATTTTTGACAGGCCGAAATCGCCAACCTGGTGAAAGTCAAGTTTCTCAACATTGTCAAAATACTGAAGCCGTAGTTTAATAGAATCAATAATCACCAACACTTGAGTAAATAAATACCTTGCATATTGGCCGTAAAGGATCTTTCAAGTTCACAAGCAAATTGTCACATTTCAAGTCAAAATGAACAATGTTTTTTGCATGTAAATACTCCATTCCAAATGCTGCATCCATGGCAATTATTAGCCTCTTGCGACGATCAAGGTACCTGGAAAGAATCATGATAAGATCATGCAAAACACCCTTCAACAATTTTCTGAATCAATAATCACGAATACCTATCCTTTCGTAGCAAAACATGTCGAAGAGAACCGTCCACCATGAACTCCGTAACGGTCGCCATTGTTCCTCCTGGTCCATCTTGAACTACCCCATAAAAAGCCACCACATTTGGATGATGAAGCTTAGAAAGTATGTCAGCTTCCCGCCAGAACTCTATCGTCTAAATAAGAACATCAAGTATAAGTCATTCTAATAAATAGCGGCATGGCAAATAAAGGAAAACAAAACAAAAATCAGTCCATGAGATGTATAGACAAGTTACCAGTCTTTCTTGTTCTGAAGACCGACCGGAGAAACAACTTTTCTTTATTCTTTTAATTGCAACATCTGATCCCCGCCATTTTCCGTGATACACAGTCCCAAAGGTGCCAGAACCGAGTTCTCTCAGCTCTTCAAGATCCGCATTCATTATGATCTGTCATGTGCATCATTTATACATATGAAATATAGTAATTGAAGAATCCATTTTTCGATACTCGTACTGCATCAGCGCTGAAGAACTATGATACATTAAAAGTATGGTTTTACCTGCAAAGTACTAATGTCAAACTCATCAAAACTAATCTCTTGAGGAGCTACAACCACATCCCTTGTCTCATTATTTCCATCCTACATTCAGTCCGTCAAAGGATTTGTTAGCAAAAAAGGAACATATATGTGTTTTTTCATACGATAAAGAACCATTAAAAAGTACCTGATATTCAGACTCCTGTGGCCTAATGTTTTCCACTGGGGCGGCGTTGATGTTCTTATTTTCATTTCCCTTAAGTTCAGAAGGGTTGTTTTCTGGTTGAAAAACAATAGCGTCGGGTTTAGTAGTTACAGGTAAGGTTTTCTGACTTTCCTCTCCATAATTTATGTTGGAATGAGATTCCTTGGGTCCTGTCAAAACAATAACGTCTGCTGGTGGAGGAGCGGAAATATTGAACTTACTATCTCCTTCTTTTACTTTGCTTACAGCTGATGAAAACCCGAGATTATCCTGATCAATCAGAGAAACATTATCAAACCCTTCATGCGCCAACTTCTGAAAATATGACCAACTTTTAGGCTCGTGATTCTCCATTTTCAAGCTCAGGCCTGCTCTATCAGCTGGCAATGGACTAATGTTTGCGGAATCCTCAGAATGAACTGCTTTTGAGAACATATCGTAAAGGAAATCCCGAGGAAACCTGTCTTCAATATCAATCAGAATGTCTCCCTGAGAAGGTTTGGATTTAGCATCAAGAGGTTCCCTTGTAGGAGCCTCAGACAAGTTTTGGTCTTGAAGTTTAGATGCTAGATTCTCATTATGTTCAACAGAAGGAACCCGGCGAAAAGCAAGATTCTCTGTGCTCTTGGTTTCATCCACTGGGAGAATTTTATGGCTATCTTTGGAGGTATTTGTCTCATTTTCAGAAATTTTGCTATCGGACAATACTGGCTTCAAATCAGAATCCACAATCTTAAATAACTTTGGGTTCACCTGACTTGTTGCATCAGGCAAATGTTTGCTGCTGATGGCATGGCCATCAGCACGCAACGGCTTTGCTGATGAGTTGGACACCGTGCTCAAATTCGACAGATTCTCATTGTGAAACATGTCACTGGATTCGTTAACTGAGTTCATACGATTCAAATCAGAAAGTAAGTCTGCCATGAGTAAGTGTGAGCCATATGCATCGTCCGACTTTGCAGACCGGTTCAACAAATCTGCATGTTCCCTGGGAATAATTCTCTCCGAATAATATACTCTATTAGGAAGTGGAGGTGGTTCAAGGCAACTGAAATCGATTATATTGGACTCAGCATCAACAAGAGCACGACTGAATGCATCTGTGGATGCAGGATAGAAGTCATCTTCACCAGATCTTGAAATCTGTGTAGGATTCAGCACTTCAGATTCAGCGGCCGAAATCTTGTTTTCTAATGGCAGTGCAGGATGAAGTGTTTCTGATACAGCAGCTGGAACAGTCGCCTCTGATAAATTACCTTGCAAACTTCCCTCAAATGGACGCGAAGGAAGAGAGTTTTGTACTTGCAACTCACTGGATGCTTGTCCTTCGCTCACAATTCCTTGGCTCGCAACACCGAAAGTAGGCAAGGAAACCGGAGCGTCTGCTAGATTGCGAGCCGAACTGTTAGAAGGAAAAGGGCCATTATGTATTGGATATTGACTAGTTCCCCCTTGTTGAATGATTGGATCCTCGTAAAAGAACGGATACGCTTCATAAGCATTTGAGGATGTTGGTAGCATTGGTTGCGAAGACGGAATTGTCAATACTGGGTTAACATTTCCAGTCAAGGAAGAACTGCCGACACCATATGATTCAACCATAGCTCTTTTAGTCTCCTTGTCAATAGTTTGTCGGTCTAATTCCTGTATATCATTAGAACTTCCGGCACAACGAAGTATAGAGTTGCTTCTTGATTCCACGTTCATGCCATTAATAGCAACTACATACTGGACTTCAGAATCACCGCCATCCATGCTACCTAGACCAAACTGAGTATCATCCAAATCATATATAGAGAATAGGAACATCCGAAGCTTTAACGATCCTCTCCTTCTTTGTAGATCATGACATTCCTCCATCATATTCCGCAGATCCTCATCAGACGTTACTGAAACTAGGGCATCGAGATCTTCTCCGGGGAGCTGATACTTTATTACCCGAGTGTCATTATAGATTGATGATATCTTCTGCATAAGCTCCGGCCAAGTTATGTCCTTTCTTATGCTAATAATCCGTGTTTCACCTCCAACATATCTAAGCTTTCCATCACTTGGCCGCGGTAATATTCTACCACCAAAGCTGCATAGAATCTTCATCCTCATTGATAAGCTGTTAGAAGATCCAGAAGAAGAAATACCGTGAAGGACCCGGTTGTTATCTTGATTTGACGATGTTCTAGGAATTGATCGAGCCGAGCCATAATTACTTCTTTCCTGATGTAGAGCAGAATTCCTTCTGTCAAACTCTTTCGGACCTTTTTCAATATCGGAACCACTCTCAGATCCTTTATGGCCTAAAATACCTTTAAATTCCATATACCCTGTCGAGTAATTAGGATCGCCGACAACATTCGGAAATGAAGGCTTCTTGAGATTCACATTCACCCTGTCCCTCATGAACTCGAGGGCAAATTCCTCACCAGTCTGTATGGAGAAATTATGTACAGGTTTATTTTCCGACGCGTTAAAGGAAGGAGGAGGCCTTGTATTGGCATGCATGCCGTCCAGATGGTCCTGCAGGACCGGTTGCGGTGCAGAATGGAATTCCTCCTTTCGAGGTTCCATGGAATTGTATTGATGTTTCTGCATTCTTGACTGGATAATTAAACCATCATTTGTAACGTTGAATGCGGGAAATTACTGCAACGCCACAGTACTGAGAAAACACTAAACATCATGTAAAAATAACACATTTTATACTGTAAATTCAATTTCCAAATCCCTTTGATAAGACTAGTTATTAAACAACTCCGAAATTCAGTTTATGTCACCATAATCAATGCATGAAGAAGCTTCCACAATCGTCAGAACTCTCAAGGCTAAGAAGTGCTTTATCTGTATGAATGATGAAATATAGAAACTTTTCAGAATGAGCTTAAGATGTAACAACAGATGATATAAACTATGAAACACGAATCGCAGAAACACGACACTGACACACGTCGACACCAGTAATAATTTGAAAAAAAATGAATAAATTAAACATAAACACAAGTGTCGGTTTCAGTTTCAAACATCGACACTAACACGGACATGCCTTTTCTCAGAGGTCTCAGTGCTACCGAGGATATAAACAACTATATTAAGGGAACAAACAATGCTTAAAAACAAACCGAACCGGCGAGACCTCTAGGTCAAGGTTCAACCATCTTAAACCGCTAAAACTAAGACAAAACCACGATCAAACCGCAAAAACAATCAAACCATAGGAACCTGGAAATTACAGAACCACATGCAGTGAAGTAAAATCACACCAGATGCATTTTAAGAAAGTCGTCAAGGGTTCAAACTGGAAATCAACATAATCACTAAGTTACTACAGTTTTTCCTATAAAAAAAATCACATGCAAAGATCATATGAAGCATAATTGAACAAACAATTTCAGTAATCATCACTTAACAAACTAAGAAAAGGATCCATAGATAACAATATCAATTCTGGTCAACTCTAATCAAGCTTAATAAATCCAAACTTAGGGTCCTAACTTCATCTTTTCTGAATCAAAACACATCATAGATTATCATAATCTCATAAATCAAGTTCAATTTCATTAACAGAAAAAGATAAATAAAATAAAAAATCAGAAAACATCAAATAAAAACTAGATCAGACAGAAAATTGAACAGAATTACCTATCTGCATGACTGATGACATGCCTCAAGAAGGCTTGAGAGTAACAGCCATGGATTAATTTGTTGGAAAAAAGTATATCTGAAAAAGTATAAGCGAAAAGGAATCAAGCTTTGTTTGTCTATACCATGTTTTTGATTGTGTTTTTTTTTTCTTTTTGAGTTGGAAACAATCTGAATCTAGTTGTAATTGAATGATACTTTTGGAACAAAATGACAGCACACAGAAAAATACTTTCTCTCTCTTCTGTCTCACACAGACACAAACACTTTTGTTTCTCTCTCTATATCTGTGGAGTGTAGAAGCTCTTTGTGTTGTGTTTTGTGGAATAAAATAATTGTGTTGTGTTGTTTTTTTTTTTTTTAAGATAGTTGTTGTGTTGTTTGTGTCAGCAAAATAGTCAAAAGAGTGAAGAATACAGTAAGACGCAAAATTAATTTGTCCTTTTTTTTTTTCTCTTTTTTAATTATTGTTATTACTGCCACAGTTCGTTAATCGTTACTCCTACGTATGGGTGTCATACATATGCTTATATGGAGTGCAATTAATGTTACTGTTAGGTAATTTTATTCAATTTTTTTTAAAATATAAATAACAAAAATATTAATATAAAAACTTATGTGACAATTTGGCATCCAATCTAATATAATAGACTTATGGTTTTTTCTCATTCTCAATGATGTTTTTTTAGTACTTTGGTGTATTTTCAGAAGAATAAGAAATCATTGAACATTTGTTTAGGTTAGTTGGAATTTCAAACGGTTGGTTTTAGAAAGGTAATAGGTTGAAAAATAATTTCAGCTAATACTAACACATCCAAAAGATATCAGTTATCTATTCACTCTAATAACTTAAAAAGTTTAGAAAAATCATTTTGACTTTTTATCTTATCTTAAGAGTTTGATTTTATCCTAGAGTCTAATATATTCCGGAACTTTTTTAGTATCATTTAGTTTTTTATTTACTAACTAGGATGGCATATTTTTTTAAAAAAATTAAGAAATCATTAAACCTTATATAGTTTATTTAATAAAAAGAAAATTTTATGGTTAGCTTATAAGAACAATATTTTTATCATTATAGATTAATTGATATTATCATTATTAATTATAGTTAGATTAATATAAATTTTCTTATTATTTTTAGTGGCTAATATCATTTAGAAGTTAATATTATATTAGGGTTAGAGATTAAAAGTTTACAAGGTCTTTAATGTATAGATTATTGATAGATTAATATTTTTTTAATTAGAATTAAATCAATATGTTAGAATTAGTCCGATTTTATTGAATTATGTTACTTATTAGTGGTTGTTTTATTTAGGTATTATTTTGTATTATTGTTAAATTATTAGGTGAACCTGGTCAAAATGTTTATCAAACTAAGGAAATCCAAACCTAAAAACTCTAGTTTGCGTGTAAACGAAATTAAAGAGAATCAAATATTAGAAAATTTTGAATCAGGAATTACTTTTTTTCATTATTACGTTAGATATGATTTACAATTAAAATCTAAAAATCCTAAAATTTACACAATCAAATCAAATCTAAATCTATTTAGAATTACAAATTATATCAAATAGAAAATTTCCTAAAAAAACTATCAATCAAATAATTACAAAACCCTAATTCTAAATTTATATAAATCTAAGTTAAAATCTAGAACGAGGACGGAGAAAAATCAAAGCTAATACTGCGCATTCCTTAATTCCTTTACCAAAGCTCTTCATCAAAAAAAGAAATTAGGGTTTCACCTTAAAACCCTAATCACTTGTGTAATACCCCAAATATACCCCGCACATTTAAATATAAATCAGAGTGAATTCAAACATTTCATATTTAGGATGTCACAGAATTCAACACAATCAGATGCTCATATATTAAAATATGTAAGACATGCAAATATTTGAAAATTATTTAAAATCACCAAAAATAACTCCACGTGTCTTAATTTCCAAACTTTATTGAAATAGCAGAAGTATCAACATAAACAGTTATTCAAAGCATAATTATCATTTAAAATAACATCAACAACACTTATTCTAGAGATATCCAAAAATCTCCATCAAACTCAGCATAACACAACGTTTCTTGACCTCAATGTTGCATATCAGAGCAGTCGCCGATATTAAAGGGAAAATAGAAGACTTCATCTTCTACTTACTTCAACTCCTCTACTGCGAGTTATCTACACGATCTCCATGTAAAGACAACATTCAAACAGAAGGGGTGAGATATCATAAATAGTTAAAGGAAAATATGATAATAAAGCAAGCATTAGATTTCTCATGCACAAACACCCATTCCACAACATACAACCCTACAACAGCAGTTACAACCGACATGACAACAAATGCAACACAACAACAAACACAACAATAATGCAGTGCATTAAAACTCACGACTCGACTCAATGCATGTGGTACCATGCATCGATCCCTATTTCAGAACTTGACCCCTATTTCAGGATCACAACTCCCGTCAGAATTTCCATAATATCGCTCACATCCCACATGGGCACACGACTTATGTGATCGCTCACACCCTGCATGGGCACACGAATCACCAAGATCTCTCACACCCCATATTGACACATGATCACCTCAATAATAATAACAACAACAACAACAAAGATACAACTCCATGATTAGAATTCGAATATGACACTCACACCCCACATGGACACACGACTTATCTCACAACTCATGCAACTATGAAATGTATGACAACAACAACAACAACAACAACGACCATCTAAAAAATGCAACATACCAATACAGGCCAGCAACAACAACAGGTCATACAGTCCAGTAACAATAACATACAACATGACAAGCATCCACAAGGCATTTAAAATCATATCACACCATAACAAAATGATAATAATGCGTCTAACACCAACAAACATCAAAATCATTCAACTTCTGCTATTGAACTATTTTTAGATTAAAGTTTGTCACGCCATCTTTTTGACGCTTTGAACAGCACTCGAATCGGACTCCCGGATCAAAAGTTATAAATTTTAGAAGATTTTTCAAAAAAAATGTTTGTGGTGTAATCGATTACCACAATTCCCATAATCGATTACGCCTTTGGAAAAGCCAAAATGCAGTTTTTAGGTGGCGTAATCGATTATCACAAACATTGTAATCAATTACGCCTTCGAAAAACCAAAAATACAGTTTTTATGCAGCATAAGCGATTATGCCCAAAACGGTAATCGATTACGCTGCGACCAAAATCACTTTTTTAGCAGCTTATCTTACAAAATCAGTTTTGAACCCTCCCAAAACTTTATTTTTAATGTAAGTTGTTTAGAACATGTTTTAACACGAAAAAGAACTTTTCTAAAGTCCCAAACCCCAAATCCTTTTCATCAAAAATTGATCATGACTTTGTTCTGACTCTGGCTCGCGATCAAAACAACCAACAACATCAGGCAACGAAAATTAATCGATTCAACAATAGAAAAAATGCAATAATTTCATCAACTACAACAATTCTAACAACAACCTACAACATTCATCAGAAACAACCAACCCCACAAAACCATTCCATCAAAAGTATGAACAAAAGAGGAAAAAACACAAAACTTACATGGAAGATTCTACCCACAATTATAATCATACTAACTCTTAGCTAGTTAGAACCCCACCCTTACCTTATAGTTATTTGCGATGATTTCCTCTTTCTCAATAATGGAGTCTCTTCTCCCTTGTCCTGAGCCCTAGTCTTTCTTCTCCTTTTCTCACTTTTCACGATCTAACCAAAAACTCTTCTCAACTTCCTCTTTTTCTATCATTTATTATTATTATTATTATTATTATTCCATAAATTAAATAATAATAAATATTCCCTAATTATTTTTAATTAGTAATATTCAACTAATATTACTAATATTACTTAATTAGCCATTCTCACCACACCACTAAGCTCTAAGCAATTGGTCATACACCCCT